GTGTGTATGTGTGTGTGTGTGTGTCCACACCCATGTACACAGTACAAGGGCTTGAACTCGGGGATGATGTGGTCCTTCAGCCATTTCTAATCAAGATAAATGCTCAGGGCTGGGAATGTGGCTTAGTGGTAGAGTGCTTGCCTAGCATGCATGAAGCCCTGGGTTCAATTCCTTAGTACCGCATAAACAAAAAAAAGACGGAAGTGGCCCTGTGGCTCAGGGACAGTGCCCAGGCCCTGAGTTCAAGCCCCAGGACTGGCAAAAAAACACAACAGAAACCAAATGCTCTAGTAATTGAATTATGATTCCACTTTTGGCTTTTTGATGGATAGTTGAAGATAAGTCTTAGTCTTTCCTGCCCCAGGCTGGCTTTGAACAGTGATCCTCAGATTTCAGCCTTCGAGTAGCTTGGATTACATGATCTGCTGGCTTCTGGCATTAACACATCTTACTGAGTTCTCCAAATATTTTATTTTATTAACAATTATAAGTCAATTCAGTATTAAGTTTCTAGAGTATTAAAGGTTAAGATACTATCTGTGGAACATCATTAATTTTCAGAAATATTGTTTAAAATGTACTCTAGCTTATTATTTTACATATTTTACATACAAATGTATACATTGATCCACAAGAAATGATTCCAGAGAACTTACTCCTTATCAGGTTGAAAACTGCTAACAGTGATTAAAAACATTTACTGACAGGCCAGGTGCATGTGGCTCATGCCTGTAATCCTAGCCACTCAAGAGGGTGAGATACGAGGATTGCAGTTTGGAGCAAGAAAAGTCCTAAACGTCACTTTCTATGTAGCAAAATGTTTCACTGTACAAAAACTCAACTTCATAAGTGAAGGAACTATTCCTAAGTGAAAGGAAAAACCTGCAGTTTACTTTATCACTTAGATTATGACAATCCTGCCAGATGTGGTAGTCAACACCTGTAGTCCTAGTTACTCAAAAGGCTGAGGCAAAAATGCTGTCTGAACATAAAAGTACCAGGCCAGCCAGGGCAACTTAAAAAAAACCAAAAAAGTAATAATTCTATTTGAATAAGGATACCCCATAGTGTTTAAATGCAAAGCTAAAGATAAAAACAGAATATTGGGGAAAATAGGTAATAATAAAAATGGCAGATACAAATGCACTAAGGGAAAAAGCTTTCAGATAGAGAATTGTGCTATGTATTCAAACTCTCCCTCTTTCTTTTTTGTAACAGGGCCTCCTAATGTAGCCCAGGCTGCCTAGAGGTTGAAGTTGAAATCCTTTTGCCTCACCCTTAGTACTGGGCCAATTCTTTTTATTTCTGGTTGGTAATGGGGCTTGAATTCAGGGCCTGCGCACTGTCCCTGAGCTTTTCACTAGCGCCTCTTCCAGTTTTCTGGTGGTTAAGTGGAGATAAGAGTCTTTCTTGCCTAGGCTAGCTTTAAATCACAATCCTCAGATCTCAACCTCCTAAGTAGTAAGATTACAGGCATGAGCCACCAGTGCTCAGCTGGACTAACTTCTCAAGTGTATTTTTTTGGGTGTGTATGTTTATTTCTACTTCTAGAAATTTAGTCTAAAGAAATGACAAGGATGTGAAAGATCTAGATGCCTAGAATTTTTAGTCACTGATATGAGTCCTCAAGCACAATGTTTTGTAAAAAATGTGCAAGGATATTTTTGCTATTAGAAAAATAAACAGAAGAGGACTTAGCTGACTTTGCAACACTAGAATGGAGATGTACCTCAATGGTTAGGCACTTGACAAGTGTGCACAAGGTACTGGGTTTGATCCTTGGCACTACAAATAACAATTATGAGGAAGTGGTGCTGTGACTCAAGCGGTAGAGCGCTCGCCTTGAGCTGAAGAGCACAAGGATAGCACCCAAGCCCAGAGTTCAGGCCCCACAACCTCCAAAAAAAAAAAAAAAAACAATTATGATACACAGATCCTATATGAAACTATGAAGCCATGAAAGATGCTTTATAGACCAAGTTATTTCTAATATTTCCAGTGTTTTCCTTAAGTGGTGGATACATGGCTCAGAGTTAAGAGTGCCTTTCTGACAGTGTAAGGTAATGAATTCAAACACAGGGACAATAACAAAATCAATGTCTTCCATAAACAAAAAAAGATACAGTGATTACAAGTATATTTTAAAAGACAAAACCATAAAAAATTTGGTATGATTTATATGTAAAACATGAATTTTAATTGTTTTTTTTTGTTGTTGTTTTTTTGATCAGTCATGGGGCTTGAACTCTGGACTTGAGCGCTGTCCCTGTGCTCTTCAGCTCAAGGCAAGCGCTCTGCCACTTGAGCCACAGCGCCACTTCCTTTTAATTGTTTTTTGATGGAAGGAATACAAATCTGTATTTTCTTTTTCCTGTCAGTTATGGGGCTTGAACTCTGGGCCTGGGCACTGTCCCTGAGCTCTTCACCTCAAGGCTGGAGCTCTACCACTTGAGCCATAGTGCTACCTCCAGTTTTTTGGTGGTTATTTGGAGATGTCCCATGGACGTTTCTTGCCCAGGCTGGCTTTGAACAGTGATCCTCAGATCTCAGCCTCCTCAGTGGCTAGTATTACAGACGTGAGCCATGAGTGCCCGGCTAGGTATTTTCTTCTTTTAGTAATTTCCAAATGTCCACTAACATGGATTGTGTATCTAGATTAATGACAGTTCTAATTTGTACAAAGATTATAGATGATTACTCCTGGGAATCTCAGCATTATACTTTCCTTTAAAAATCCATGTTTCTCCTAAACTGATTCATTGATTAAACCTTTTCTGTATGGTAAGTTTTTAAGATAGGAAAATCATGAAGACATCCAGTGTTTCATGATAAAATCATTAAGTGCTTTAAAAGCCCAGAAATGACGGCTGGAAAGATGGCTCAGTGGAAGAGTGCTTGCCTTGCATGCATGAGGCCCTGGGTTCGATTCCTCAGCACCACATAAGCAGAAAAAGCTGAAAGTGGCACGTGGCTCAAGTGGTAGAGTGCTAGCCTTGAGATGAAGAGCTGAGGGACAGTGTCCAGGTCCAGAATTCAGGCCCCACGACCAGCAAAAAAGTAAAAAAAAAAGCCTGGAGAACCACATGAATTGGTAAACAAATCTACAAGGATGTCTTAAGTTGGAAGATTTTATCCTAAAACACCCTATCAACAGGCTCATTAAACAGTTATTTGAACTCTTGATTAAACAACTTTCAACTAACATTCTATTTATCCACCAGTCCACAGAAGTTTAATCAAGATTTTATTTAGTATACATTAGGACTCACCTCCCGTAATATGTTGGAGCTTGTGTCACTGATGTGAATTGTTATCTTCACACAACTGCCAAGACACAAACAAAACAATAAATACTTGTGAGTAGGTCCCTCAGCAGAAACATTGATATACATCTGACATTCTTTTTCTTTTTTTGCTCAGGTCGTGGGGCTTGAACTTAGGGCCTGGACTTTGTCTCTGAGCATTTGTCCTCTAAGGCTAGCTCTCTACCACTTAAGCCACGGCTCCACTTCTGGCTTTTTTTTTTTTTTTTTTTGGTGTTTAACTGGAGATAAAAAGCCTCCCGGGCTTTCCTGCCTGGTCTGGGCTTTGAACCGTGATCCTCAGGGATCTCAGCCTTCTGAATAACGAGGAGCACAGGTGTGAGCCACAAGTGCCCTGCACATTTGACATTCTGAATAATTCTGAAGGGGGGGAAAAATCAGGTACGAGTAACATCGTCATCATCAACAACTAGTGGATTCGGCTTTGGGCAAGACGTCCTCTGGTCAAGCCAACTTGAGAACAGGTCCTTCCCTCACAGCACCTGTCTAGGGCACTTTTTGGAAGGTGAAGTTTCGGTCTGGATTCAGCCCACGCGACCCCCCGCGCTCGCGCCCCTGCCGGAAGTCCTTGCGTCGAAGCCGTCCTCAGTCCCAGCCGGGGCACGCGAGGGCCGGCCTCGGCCTGTGGACTCGGGCGCGCCGGGCCTCGGACCGCA